ACGCGCTATCTCATTATTTACCTTAATTGGCGGCAATTAACAAATAATTAATTGCGAAACGCGGACATTGCGCATCTCTCTCTCCCTCCCCCCCTCCCTCTCTCTCCCCCCTCCCTCCTTCCCGAAATAATTGTTTGAAAACCTGCCTGAAAATCCTGTCCAGCGGCCGAGTGAGGACTTGGGGCCGCCGCGCCGGGACGAGCGCGAGCCATGGCGAGAGCGCAATGTGCGTGCGAGCGCAATGCTCACTCGCGGGTTATTACAAATGTATACGCGATCGTGACGAGAAATGATCTGCACGCGTGCGTGCGTGACGGAATACCTGGCGATGTTACAGAAGAACAAGCGTGATTCGAGATGTAGAGGAGAAATGCACGGCAACGTCGAAATACAGATCGCAAATCTCTTTTGCAAACGGAACGTTTTTTTTTTTTTTTTTTGTTTTTTCCTTTTCAGCCACGCTGTAAATGTGTTTTAGGATTACAAGAGTGTTGGAATCTAACGCATCGTTCGCATATACGTAAATCGCGATCCGCAAATAGAGCATTTAACGGCAACGCATCGTGCACGATCCCTCATGCAAAAGTAATAAATTGCACAAAGCCAGGATTGTTGTGTATATTTGAATGAAGAAGTATCGCGCCGCGTAAAAATTTGTTCTAACTTTTCCGCGTTCGATTTATATCGCGAGGATAGCAATTTTTGCGCGGCCACGCCGAAGGATCTGCAACTTTTACGAGCGTGACGCCCACCGCTGATGCCGTATCTCAAAAACCCGGCCGATTTGCAAAACAAAATAAACCGAAGCTTCGCACCTGTTTTCCGACCGGGCGCACTTGTACGGAAAAAAAGGGTCTTCTCCAATGAATAAATTTTGTTTTATTGGCGGATACGCGCGCACTCGCGCCCCCTCCCGCCGCCGCCCCCCCCTCCCCCGCCCTCTCTCCCTCGCCTCGTCCCCCCGTGTAAATCATATATCCCGTCAAAGGAAAGTCGACATTTTCAATGCGCGTCCGGCATCGATATATAATCGAATATCTTTCGCGGCATTTACCAGCGTCCTCTCTCTTCCCCCCTCCCCCCCTCCCCCCCCCGCTCACTCTATCCTCCTCTATTTTTCGAACAATCGCGCTCTTCAGCGCGGCGGGGGTTCTCTCTGCAAGACCGCGAATAATCGTAAAATGCGCCCGGCGAGAGTCCGTCTAGAGCGGAGAGAATCGCAACCCCTCTGAAAAAGTTGCATTTTTATCAGACACGTAGATTACGGCCGCGTAGCGGCGTTACGTAGCGACGTTGTAACTAGTGCACGGCGCGACGCTAAATAAAAACATACGATAATAACAACACGCCGCGTGACGACGTGGAACGAACCAGAAACGTCCGCAACGCTTTGGCAAATGCATCTGTCAGCGAGCGAAAGCGACGCGGGAATGGCTTTCCTCCTGCTCCTCCTCCTCCTCCTCCTCCTCCTCCTCCTCCTCCACCTCCTCTTCCTCCTCCACCGCTGGCTTCGACACCCCCATCTACCCTCGAAAACCGTCCAGTCTGCGCCTCACCCATCCATTCGGTCCCCTCCTCCCCCTTTGCCCCCCCCTTCTCTCACTCACTCGCCTGTGCCCCTTCGCTCAACGCCTCTCCCTCTGGTCCGTTTCATCTCACTTTCTCGCCATTCCCTCCGGCAATTACTATAAATCAGAATCGCAGTCAATATTTAATCCTCGTGGAATGGTGTTCGGCTCGGCGGACGGCGGGGAGAGGTGTCGGCGGGGACGGCTGTACGTTCAGTGGTGAGCGCCGAGGTGCAGCGGGGGCTGATGCAACAATGCCAGTAATGCGATAAAATATACTACGTGTCGAGGCCGGGGTTGGGTAGGGGCGGTGGGGGCTGGGGGGAGGGGGGAGAAGGGGTGAAATGTCCACTGTTCGTGCCGCTGACCATCGTTCGTTCGACTCTCTCGACCATTTTCTCGATAGAATAGTTTCAGATAACCATTCGTCGAAAAAGCGGGAAATGCTAAGCGCTGGAAGAACGCGACCGCGCTGGATCGTGCTGGAAGCCGCGAGAGAGAATCGATTCCATGACCGGGATCCATGCTTGGCGTCTCCTTGTGGTAATTATCACAAACGTGTGCAATGTCGCGTGTGCGCGCGCGCGCGCGCGCTTCTTGCATCACGTTTAGGCGAAGAATATAGAAATATTTCTTTCGCGCGCGCAAATAAAAGTTGCGTGGGAAGAAACGGGGGGGGGAGGGGGGGGTGATAAATCCCCCGAGACTTTACGCTCTCGTTGATCCAACAACTCGACTTGCTCGTTAAGCCGCGCGATATCTCGATTTATTTGCTCCTTACAGTCGCGAACAGCGAAATTTTCATAAAGAGAATCGACTCGACACCGATTCGAGTCCGATAACGCTGTGCGAGTCGAGTGAGCATTCTCCGTCGCTTTTCACGTTCAATTGGCCGCAATCGTCTAAACTCATCGGATCGACGAGGCCTCTCTCCTCGATCTCTCTTTAAAACAAGCGGCTAATATTTACAATGCGAAGTGCAGTCGCGTGCCTCCCGACCATCATCAGGCGGAATCGCAGCAACTTCTGTTTCTGTTAGACGAGTCTCGACCAGCGTACCAATCCCAGTGTCATTATCGAAGTAATAGCGGTTCGTGACCTTATTACTGTCATTATTATTATGGCCATCACGGTGGAGCTCGTACCGCTTCTAGATCGAACTGTCGTCATCTTAAAAATATCTTTATATCCTCCGCCGAGTACCTGCACTTGTACAGACACGCGTGACGCTCATTCGATCAATTCGTTCCGACTGCCGACGTGTCACGCGACTCGTCATTTGAACCACCACCATTGATAGCGCAGTTATCTCTGATAACTGCGTGAAAAATTTACCAAGTGTGCGAAGAAGCGTTTGAATTTAAATCTTCTCCCTTCTTTTCAGAAATGAACAGTGTGTATGATTCGTGTGACATTGTGTGTTCAGCCGAAGGATTTATCCCTGCGACGAAATTTACGGCAAATGCCTCCGAGGCTTAAAGTAACTCTCCTCGAGGATTAGTCTGGCGATTTGCGAAAATCAGAAATCGATTGATCCGCGTGTGCGACACGTTGTCGGAAATGAGAGAGCGAGACGTTCGCAATGGAGATGAAGTGGCATGAAGGCAAGGCAGGCCTCATTGTGGGCAGAAGAATGGAATCTCAAGGGTTGAGTCCTGGGGGAAATCAAAAGGCAGTGGGCCTCCGGGATAAACCAGCCAGATCTCAGTGGAGGTTCGCCAAAGTAGCTTGTCAATAACTTAAATCTCAATCGTAACTTGGTGCTCCCAACTGATTTCCGTTTCTGCGACTCGTATCTGCTTCTCGTCGATATTCATAGTTGACGTATCTTCCCACGCTCGAAAGAAGTACATACTTTCGGAAATCCATTCATCCTCTGTGCTCCCTCCGCCCCCTCCCCCTCCCTCCCTCCCTCTTTCTCTCTTTGCTTTGCTTGTTTCAAGTTCCGACGTATATAAATGTAAATATATCGCGTGTCTCCGTTTATGAGAAACGTGTCGGAGAACTTTTGCAATATTGCACGCGTCTCAAAATCTCTTCTTGCTCAGCAAGACGCGCAACGCGACAAAAGTAATTATTTAAATTAAACGCAACCACGCTAATTCGCCGTTTATTCCCAGCAATTCATTTCTCTCGTGCGCAATTTGCTTTGCGCGCAGCTTATTTTTTTAATATTACTTCAACGGACAAATTTCGCTGGTAATCGATTGCTAGATTGCTTCCTTCGCGCAGCAGTAGACGGAGCATTATTTCGTCAGCTTTTTATTGGCTCCGCGAGTTGAATCGGAGAATGGCTGAAAGATTTTCGAGGGCAACCGAGGAGACAAAACATCGTAAGCACGACAAGCGCGCGGTACAATGCCCACCCACCCACCCGCCCGCACGGAGGTTGGCTTCTACCATTCATAACTTCGACACATTCTCTGTCAAAACGTTAGCGCAGATTGTCAACCGTTACATCACCAGCCATCGAGTACAAAGAGCGTGGCGCCGGTAAACACGCTTCTGCCCCCGCGTTTCTCTTTGAGCGCATTGTTCCGAAAGAGTGGAGGCGGCGCGGCGCGCTGCACCGCAGATCGTTTCTTTCATCGGAGGCATAATGTCGTTCCCTTTGACCCCGGGTCAAACTGAAGTATTAGCAGTTGAATGGAATGTTATTTAATCTCAATCGACAAGTTACGAATTATTATTATTACGTAATGTAACGAGAAACGGGAAACGTTTCCGCGTTCAACGCGCGCGGGCGTCTCCTTTGTGACGTCCACGGTGACAATTTTGAGTCTTGACTGATTTTTGTTAAGTGACTGATTTTCGTCGAAAGTGCTCTCTTTTCTTCCTCACGAAGGGGGCAACTTGCGCTCTGAGACTTTTCCGCGTACATGTCGCTCGTAGAGAAAACGTGGCGAGGAGTCGGGCGGGTGAAGCAACGTCTCGCAAGTAATGGCATTCATTGATGTAACGATCGATTTCCATCGCCGGGGTACGCCGCGCGTGCATTTGACGGGGATGTTTCCAGCCTTGAGTGGATATCAACATCCGGCGCTATCCCCGATTGCCCGTGTTAAGAGATTGGCGCAATTGTCAAGCGAGTCGCGTTCGTGCTCCTCACTCGGAAGACGCTCTATACCGCTCGCAAACAAGACGACGATGGTATCCATAAACAAGGCGGGGGGAGTGAAGCTAAGGTAAAGTTATACGAGACCACGTATTGATATTGTTCCCTTCTTACTACCTGCGCTCGCCGCTGTACGTGTGTACACATCTCAGAATGGGATTGAAACATCATCCATTCGTCATTCGATTACAGCGTCTGCTGCGGCGCCACTCCACGACCGGCTGTAACCCTTTCAGTGTTAGTGCGAGGTATACCTTCCACCTTTTCCTTTCTTCGTTCGATCTTGCGTTGTAAATCGTATAATTTTGAAGAACTAATCAGGGATTTGAGTTTTCCAGACAACTGAACAGTTGTTCAACATACTGCAATAGGTTTTTACACCCAATTATTCACTTGTGGTTATTTGTAACAAATTAAAGTTGAAAAAAATGCTGTTTTTAGGGAAAAATCGATTCCTCGGAGAGTATTGAATGCAGATGTCTAAACTTTTCACCAAATATCTTTCTGATATTGTATAAAAATATTTTTTTTTCCAGTACTTTTTTGTGGATTAAATTTTTTTTTGTAAACAGATATATCTACAAAAACGGCCGAAATTTGATTTTTCTGCACTCTTTAGCTCTGTTTTCCTAGTTTTTTTCATTCTGTATCTTCATCTTATCCATACTATCAGTATTATTTTACTCAAAAATGAATGTTTAATCTCTAGTAAGCATAAATATGCAGTATTGAAAATTTTCCCACACAAACTTTTTTCCAACTCGATCGAGTTCCATCGTCTAGAATCATATGTTCTTATTACGACCTGGTCATTATTTAATAATAATTGGAATTTTCATTAATTTTCTACACCATGATCTACGCCATATTGAATTTTGCAAATCTGACTTTAGACTCGTAATCAGCGATCTAAAAAACGTAGGACTAGCAAATATTTTAATAATTTTCTCAAGGGAAGTTAATTCGGCAGTGAAAGGGTTAAGCCTGCGAAATCTCTGGCAAATACAAGAAACGATAAAGTACACTGAGACCGCGCGCGTTCTCTTCTTATTTCTCACCGTCGTCGTATCTTCGTGTCGTCGTATATTTTGCGCCGTCGTATATTTCGTTAATAATTACCGAGACGACGCGTTCACTTCGGGGGGAAGGAGAGACGACGAGTCACGCGATCGCACGTGAGCGCGATCGATAATCAAACGAAGGAAGCAGAGGGCAAGCGGTAAACAAGATGCGTACAAGTCCAGCGTTCAGAGCTGCGATAGCGAAAGTTGGTGGAAGCATCAGCGCGGCGCGCAATAAGTCCGCAAACAGGCGAGAAGAAGGATTTACATCTTCCCCAGTATTTGGGGAGCTATTTACAGCCGGTACATTACGGTGTAAAGTTCCGGACCAATCGACGTTTCGATACATTACCAGCAAGAAAGACAAATGTTTCGCCCGCGCGCGCAGGTAATTGATACTATCGGTATCGATTACCATTACCGCCGGAGCTAATTACCTCCGGCATCGTAATCGAATACAATGAGGTAAACAGCGGGCCATTCGCGTTGCAGGCCGGCGGCGGCGACGGCGACGGCGACGGCGCAGCCGTAATGTCGCCCGCAGCAAGGACGTCGCCTAAAACGGCGTCAAGCCCGGCGGAAGTCTCGCGCGCGCTCTCGCGAGTCCGCCGAATAACTAGACGCTGCGGATTGAGAGACGAGTCGCCGTCGCGCCGTATTAATAACCTCGGCCGGGTATTACTCGCCACGCACGATCGCGCTCGGTATAGCGCCTTGCTCCGCCCGGCGAAGTCACGAGCAAGTATAATTCGAGCTAACGAGCGATGCAGAGACTATACCGTATACCGGGGCTTATGCCATGGGGGGAGGGGGGGGGGAGGAGAACGGGGGTGGAAACAGTGGCGGCGGCGGCGGCGGCGAAGGGGGTAAATTCAGTGGTGTGGGACACGGGTAGGTAAGTAAAGTAAAGTCGGCGGCTGTATCGCGCTTAAACTTGGGGGTTAATTCCCCTCGTTACATAGCGAAATGCCGGCGCGCTTTCCTTAGCGATCGCGCGCCGCTCGGCTGCACGCTTAGGACCGCAATGCGGAATAGGTGCTCCGCTGCGCATAAGAAATTCTTCTTTCGGCCGAACTTCTGCCCCGACTTACTTCCGAATTCCTTTCAGCCAGGTTGCTGGTGGCGTTTGTAAGAATTTTATTCTCCACCACGCCAAAAATCTCGCGAGCTCTTAATGGGAAATAACAAGTCCGCCGCGGCACGAAAGGAGATCGCCGCCGCGAGATTATCATTGCCGCGAGCAACGGCAACCAACTCTGTGTGCGCCTCATCGCGCTTCTTAATCGCGCGCGCGTACAACGACGACGACGACGACGACGGTGTAATTGTACACGATTTAATGAATCCGGCTAGAATCGGCTGTCGTGTGTCTCGTCCTAGTAATCGGTAATGTCGCGGAGAAGAAGAGGCTAGAATGAGGAAACAGTTTCGAGGCGCGGCAGGAAAAAGCGCGTCTTCCTCGCCTCGCCATAAATCTGTGCATTCGAGCCGAAATGAGAAACCATAAGGAGCGAGCATTTTTCAGGAAAAGTTCGGCCAGCACGATCGCGCTCTACTTACGCTCGCCAAAGTACAACATACGCAGAAACGCAGAAGCGGCGGGTGCCGCGCGGGCGGAAGGACGGAGGAATGACGAGTGAAAGGGGTTAGTCTGCCACATTAGTTGGCATATCCAAGTTCCAGGCATCCAATCTATTACGACCAGTTCGGCATTAGTAATGTGTCGGCGGTAATAGCGAACTCGACGGTTCTTCGGCGGGGCACGCGGAAAGACGGAAGCTGAAGGAGAATAGGGACAGAGAGCGAATGGAAGAGAGAGGAACAGGAAGCGGGAGGGACGGTAAAGACAGAAGCAGAGAGAGAGAGAGAGAGAGAGAGAGAGAGAGAGAGTAAGTGTGTGTGGAGGAGGAGGGAAAGAGGAAGTAGCTCACCTGCAAGGAGTCGCTAGAGGGTGACTGTGGCGTGTGGAAGGTAGCACTAGGATTCCCGAAGAGTGTTCGGTGGCCAGGGGATAGGCGGTCGGAGAGGATCGCGGGGTAGGCGTGCACGACATCAAAACTTGCTTGAGCGAATCTAAACTAACCGAGTAACTCTCCGCGTTACGGGTTGCGATATACGTCGCAGTGGGATGGCGAATTGGAGGGTGTTGATGGTGGTGGTGTATATGAAATGGAGGCCGCGCGCGCGCGCGGCCTCTCTCGACGATGAGCGGGAGAAGGAAGCGAGGTCGGCGAGGAGGACCGTGAAGAGACGAGAAGAGCGAGAGAGCGAGGGAGCGAGAATAGGCAGGCGCCGGGAGAGGACGGGAAAGGCGGAGAAGGAGAAACGGAGTAAGAGCAGGTGAAGAAGCGGCGGGAGGTGCATGGTAATAGGAGAGCAATGGAGGAGAATGAAGTAACTCGCGCGTATATATCGTGTAGCATGTATAATTCTGACCACATCCCACCAAACTATGACATATTCGAGCATTAGCTATTCCAGCCGGATCCCAATACCTTCTCTCAGCCTCTGGCGGACCCCTTGAGCGCGCGGCCCCCGCTTCACCCCCGACCACCGCAGACTTGTCCCTGCGCGCTACCATCGTTGATTCAGCCGCAACCGCCGCCGATGTTCCCCGCGCGAGTACCTCCGCTAACCGTCAACCGGCGAACTTTAACTGTACGTGGAATTCGAATATGACGCGGAAAGACGCGAGCGGGAGGAGGACGTGAGAGGAAAGACGAGAGAGCGGCGGAACGACGCTGTACGGTCAAACGCGTGCTATTCCGTTCCACGTTCGAGTGGCCGCGCACAGTCGCCGGCGAATACTCCGTGATTCTCCGGCGTCGTCGAATCTCGCCGAACTTGGCGTCACTCGTTTCTTTCTCGCTGTTACGGCGCGGCCGACGCGAGATACCGTTCGGCTGAAATCCGAGAATGAACGTCGGAGCGATACATAAATCAGAAGCGTTAACGAAGCGCGGGGATACGAGAAGGGGATTGCGGTATGAAAGAGCGGCGGATAGTCCCAGCGGCTTACCTTCTCTAGGAAGAGACGCTGATTGAGAGCCGTTACCGCCGCGGAAGCTGCCGCATGCTCCGCGAACTCCACGAACGCGTAGGGGTCGCTTCTAGGCTGGAACAACAAGATACACACCGTGTGTTGAAAAATATTGCGCTCATACATTACGTGACGTGTGTACAATCGACGTCGCTCCTGTCTCAAAGCTCAACTTTGTTCGTGTAAGGCACTCTCAGAGATATCTTTGAGCGTCCTTACAAAGGGCACGGTATATTCCAGCGAAATGCTCCAGATCCAACTATCTGGATCTGGAGCTGGCGCGAGCAGCCCCGCGTCGCTCAAGGACAACGTGTACGCGCACAGAGGGCCGCGCGGTATCAGTGTCGACTATCACCGCCACGAGGAAATACAGGAGGCGGTAAGGCGCTTTTATTAAAAGCGTATACCGTGACGTACGGAAAACACAAGAGCCGAAGAGCACGCGATATCTCAAGGATATACAGGAAACACCGCTAGATTTCGCGGTGAATGACGGACAGGGGTGAAATCCTACGGCTGATTTAGAGCCACTCATCGGGCTTCGCGAACGGATAAATTCACGGTGCTCCGCCTCCTTTATTTCCCTCGCTCGGCTTTCCAGCGCCTCGGTCGTGACATTAATGCGACAACTTTATGCTATTATATACCGCCGCGTGAAATGCGGCGGAGCTACGCGGCGGTAGGTGTCGAAGGAATTGCGCGCAAAAATGCGCGCGCGCGCGAGAGAGAGAGAGAGAGAGAGAGAGCTCCGCTCGGCCTTCGTGCGAACGTGTACGTTTCCGCGTACGTCGTTATCGCGATTACGTGCGGCATCGCGCTTCATCAAGAGTCCGTATCAGGAACTGTTGATAATTCGATTAACCGGCGAGAGCCGGGGAAATTACGCGTGTCTGTGTCGGCGTCAGATAATGGCCAGGGTTAGCGTTGGCGGAAGGCCTCCGAAGCGGCAACGGGGATTTCTTTGGTGACTTTGCGTAGTACGCAACCTGTTGTCTATTCTGAATAGGCGCGCGCTTGATAAGATATGTACTCGCGCGCGTCAAATGAACGTCGTAAAGCTTATCTTGCAATAGTGCGCGCTTGCGGTAGTGCGCTTGCATTTATTTCCAAGACACACAGCACGCAGCAGGAGTACACACAACATTGTACATAGAGAGAGAGAGAGAGAGAGAGAGAGAGATGCATGACGCGAGTCAACAATGTTGTTGGTGCAGACGGTTTGTTTTCGCATCGATGCCGCTCGAAAGGTCGGGATGTGATTACTTTCTCTTTTGCGGTCCGTAACAACGCGAGAGTCCGAAATTCGAACTTTCTCGAGTCTCTATTTTTTTCCTCTCTCTCTCTCTCTCTCTCTCTCTCTCTCTCTCTCTCTCTCTCTCTCTCTTTCCCTCCGCTGTCCGCTGACGTAGCGGCAGCTTCGCGCCGCCGGAAACTGGCTGCGCGGCTTAACGTCGAAAAATAGGTGATAATGGGAAAACGCGGCTGCACGTAAGTTAATTACAAGCAGGTACTCGCGGAGGTACTAATTACTTATTGCAACTTTTGCGTTAATTGCTCTCGGTAATTGCTCTCGGTGGTAATTGGCTGTCCTCCCACCTCGTTTACTCCCCCCCCCCTCTGCCCCCCCCCCAAGTGACCGCAGTGGTGCGGACAATAAAATTCCGTCATCGAAATCGCCACGTTGAAATCGTGTTTACTTACACGGGCCGATTAAATTTCCTCGCGACTCGTCGCGCGACGTCTTGGGACTGTCTCGCGTCGAGGGGAACGCGATAGATAACATCGAGACCGGATCGGAGCATCGAACGTACAATTTCACGAGTTAGGAGCTTGAAAATTGTCGCAAACTCCTTTAATGAGGCTGCAATTTGAGGCTCCATTTATTTAATGCAATAACGATGTCTTCGTTTACGCTTGCCCGTCGAAGATAACGAACGAAGCTTGCGATAAGCGAGAAGGAGGGGAGGGGGGGGGGGAAGAGGGGGACAAACTTGCTCCGACAAACGTGGCAATATTCTCGTTCTGTTACTCATGTGTACTGTTCATCATGTGAATCAGTCGAGATGAAGCGTACTGGTGGATCTCGAGGCTTCTGAACATAGCTGCGAATTCGCGTCTCTACCGTACAATGCAACATTCCAGGTGGACCTTGCTGGAAAGCTGCGCGAGCGCGTGTGTGTACATGCGCCCCGAGCTTTTCAAAACGCACTGTAACACTCTTTGATCCAACGGCCATTTTTACATAAAAAATGGCTAGGATCTGTTATTATTTACGAGCTGCCGCACATTATTCGGGAAATATGCGATATTTGGCGCCATTCATTTGCGGCGTCCATTAATCTGGACAATGAAAATTGGCTCGCGTTACAAAAAGATATTCCCTCGCCGTATCCCCGTTATTCCCACCCACCTCGACTTCATTGTCCGTTGTCGGTTGAAACGGTTGTTTTCGGCTACACAACGTAACACATTTTTTATTATAACTTGCGCGGATCACTCGGTTCGCACATTGTAGGCATTACGAACGCATCACGAAATGCTTTCAGCCGCCCGGCGTTCATAACAGCACATGTTTATGAAGATAATTAAATAAAGCGTCGCGATTACTCGCATATGTTCACATTTAAATACCGAGGTAAACAAAACAGCGCACTGCGCTTTGCCGATCCTCCGGACAAAAGCCCCCGCGATGTTGCGAGCCGCTCGGCCCCAGCCGGCCTCGGATCGCCTCTTTTTCGCGAGGCCAGCTCGCACGTTATCAGCACATATTGTGCTGTGAGGAGAACACGGCTGGATGCGCGGACGAGCGAGAAACCATCATCATTCGTTAGTTAAGTAGCGCGCAAGACAAACGGCGGCCGACGGCACGGTTAATTTATGTCCAGGCTAAAGCCTGTACGTTCCGAGCGTCCAAGCGCCAAAGAACTCGAGAAAACTCTCTAAACAGGGACCGGCGTAAATCAGCCTACCGGAATGGGAGCGTGCGCTATACGCTATCATTCGTTTCGCCGTTGTAGCGCAATCGGCCGCTCCCGCCCCCTCGCCTCCACCCCCGCCCCGGCCCCCGCCGGCAGTAGATACAGCCGAGCTTCTAACGGCCAGCAATATCGACAGATATTGACAGAGCGGTGTAAGGTGCGATCCGGCGGTCCCGCGTTACGGTGATGGCGCGCATTAGCCTTGCTGTTTGTATTTGGACAGAGAGAAACGTTGGCCATTGTAATTAGGCACGACACATCGCGCCCCTGGGACCCAACCGCCGAGGCTCCTCCGCGCTCTATACGCGCCCTCGATCATTCGGTGTGCACGCCGTGTACTAAATTCCACTCTTTGCTTTCGCAAAGAGTCGGAACTCGTTAGCGTCTTTTCGACCATAAATAAAGAGCGCATGAAAAGGGAGATTTTTCTCCCCGGCGCGTAACGCGGGGAAACACGGGGCCGACGTCAAGCTACGCTCGCGACGCTCCTGGAGCGAGACACGCGCCGGCGTTGAGACGTTTCCCTGTGTGTGCTCTGTAATTTGTCACGTATCTCAATTATATGCAGCCCCCATTTCCAAAGAGGCAACAGCCCGTGCCGACGTTAAAGAGCGTTTACTTTAAGAAACACATGGTTGTGACAAAAAGTTGTGTATGAACCAAACACACGCGCGCATGCATGAACATTTTTATGCACACCTGCACAGTCTCGTCCTCTGTCTCTCGGATATAGTTCCGAAAACTTTCGTAAGAATCGAGCGGGCGCCTTTGTTGCAGCCTTCATACTCGGAAAATGAAGTCTGCTGCAGTTTATCGTAAGCGGAAGGCCGTGATACACCTTTAAATCTCGCCGCGAGATATCAATGAGAAAATTCATAGCGCGCCTCCACGCGAGCGGATTTTATAATATAAGGTGCGAGCCCGCGCTCGCTGTTACACACAATAGCCGCCAACTATACGGCCTAGGATCAGATATACACATTCATACACGGGGCTTTCGCGTGCTGGTGTTGACGACGATGGTATGGCGATGCGTGGAAGCATGGCGTGGCTAGTATGGTGCTGTCTGAACGGTGGCAGAGAGTGCTCGGGGACCGTCGAGCTAAATCACTCCCTAATGGATCGAGCCGCTAATCTCTGATAGACTGCATGCTACCAGGGTTCCTCTCCTCGTTCTGCTGTATACTCCCTCTCGTATTCCCCTACGCTCACGTTACATCACCCCGCTTTGTACGGCGAACTACGCGCCGATGCAGCGGAATCAAACTCGCGCGCGCGTTGAAGGGCGCGGAACTTTCCTGTAGGGCGACGTATAAGCCGGAAGAAATGTTACGAACAATCGCGCGCGCGCGCGCGCGCGCGATAAAATGTTTCCTCCTAATTACCGTGCGCGTTGCTTTCGAGCCTACGCAGTCGGGACTAGAATCGTTAATCGTTAATCGACAATAATCGTGCTCGTTTTCGGTCATCGTTTATTCTCATCGATGTATTTTAGTGTTGTTCAAGTCACGAGAGAGCGCAACAATTTATCGGCACCCGAGTAGAAAAATTAATAGGACTCTGGTCTGGTAAGGGCCTGATTATTTTTCTTTAACATTAATCGTTTAACATTAATTAGTCTTTAACATTAATTAGTAGGGATAGAAAGACAGGAGCACTATAGGATGTGTAACAATGGGTTTAACGGATCCTTATAAGGCGATATTGATAGGGCCATATAAGAAAATATTTTTATTCTTGCTTGAGTAAAGATATTCGTCCTTTTCATTCCAAGAAATTTAGACTTTTAATTAGACTTTTAATTAGACTTCTGATTAGACTAATTTCTTTATTTCTTTATAACCTTGTTAGTATACAACAAGAATTTTTTAAAAACATAGCACATTTCACAATAAAATGTAACATTCTTTACACATAAAAATCCTGCTACTTTTTATTATTAAAATTTTTATTATTAAAATTTGCTGCATTTCAAAGCGAAGGTAATACTAGAAAAATCCTTGGAAGAGACTAATGAATATGGCAACTGATAAGACTAATTAAATTTGTTTTTAATTAAAAAACCAGATAGAGCATACCTATTAAGATAATACTAAA